TCGACTCGCGCGGCGAGGGCGAATGGCCCACATTATGCGCGCGCCCCCGTTACCACGCTGTTATTATCTCTCCCCCGTTCACGCGAGAAGGGCCATCTCGGAGGATCATTAATCTCTCGTAGCCAGAAGCCGACGTTAAAGGAATCGTTCGAGAAGCGCGTTGTTTTACGGCCAGTCCGCTACGGGCTCGCCGAGGCGACGAGGCGTTTTTAGCAGCTCCTCGAATAGTCCGTGCACGGAGCGCGCGCGTGCGCAAGGGAGCACACCTGGATTATTAATTCTCCGGAAACCGTCGATAATTCGTCACTCTCCAGCGGAAGGGAAAATTGAGAAAAAACGAACGGCGCGAGAGTGCTATCTAAAATAACGTCTATTCAGTAATTTGCGTCGAGAGAGAGAGAGAGAGTAACGAACATGTTTTTGCTCTCTCTCTCTCTCTCTCTCTCTCTCTCTCTCTCTCTCTCTCTCTCTCTCTCTCTCTTCCTTCCTCTCCCTCTCTCGAAACATCGAGAAAGACCTTGTTATTTCAACGCTTTTTCCCCGCGGCTGGAGAATCGTGTGTCGTAAAGTAAGTCGCTTCGTGATTTTGCAGATTTAATGACCTCTGACTACAGCCACTACTATGTTTTTTCTCTCCCTCCCCCCCCCCCGTCTTTCCTCTGTCCCTGTTTCTCTTTCTCTCTCTCTCTCTCTCTCTCTCTCTCTCTCTCTCTCTTTCTCTTTATCTCTGTATTCTTTTCTCCTCCAGATACGTCTCTCGGCGAGATCCTTCTCGCAGCAGGGATTACAATGTAATTCACAATCGCGCGGAATTAGCGACGTCGTGCGGCTCGATGGCCTGCTAGCTGCAAATTGCACTCCGCGAGTATAACTTTAAATACGAAAGTTATACGCCCGCCTGTGTTATGGCGCTGAAACGCGAGCGACCGTAGGCGACCTGACGCGAGTTCGTGTTACCTTCTCTCAGGTGTGCGCAATATTTGTGCACTTACGTACGCGCGCCGGAACGGTGTGTTATTAAGCATGATAATAATTCGAGTGGAATACTGGCAACCCCTCTCGCAGCGACCGATCGTAACGCGGCGATAAGAGCGAATTAATTCCGCAATGATGCTAGCTAGCTTCGCTAGCGATCCTACTCGCGTCACGCACGCACACACCGCGTTTCCACGCTGCCTCGTCTGTTCCCCCCGGTAAACTGCGAGAAGCCGTCGTTGCTTTTCCCCCGTTGCTGATCCCATTGTAGTTGTAGTAATGCAATTTTATCAAAACTTTGAAACAATTCTCGATGTGGCCTCAATCCAGCTCGTGCGCTCTCCCTCCCTCCCTCCCCCTCTCTCTCTCTCTCTCTTTCTCTCCCCCCCTTTCCCTCTCCTCCTACCTATCTCTATCTCTCTATGTTCATTCTCTTTCCATATCAACCGCCAAACAAATCCTATCGGAGGGAGAGTCGGCCTGACTCAAATTCTATAGAGAAAATGGAGAATTTAATAGAGAACATAAATGGCACGTTAAAAATGAGGAAAGTACGACGAATCGAGCTGCACGGGCGTGTAGATAAGTGGCGAATTATCATTGTGGCCAAAGTCATTATCATTGTGGCAACTTTTTCTCAATTCGGTAGGGATGTAATGCACACTTCCTAATTATACGGCGTAACTTCATCGTCGCGAGATAATCTCGAGACCTCGCGGATCTCTTTCTTCCCGTGGGGAAGAATTCCCTCGAGGAAAATTCGAGCAGAACTCGAGTAGAATTCGAGAAGAACAGAAGAAAATCACACACCATCAGGCGCCATCCTGTGCTTCTCGGTTTTTTCCTTCGCAGCATTTAATCCCCGTTCTTTTGGCTGCGCGAGCGAGTGTGTGCATCGTATTTTCCCTTCAACGCGATGGGAAATAACTCTCGCCTTCGAGCGGCGATTCAGTTGGTGGAGCATTCGTGTCGGTCGGAGTCACTTGAACTGTAATCCGCAGGCATAAGCTCGAATCCCGCTCGTTAATGCCGCCAAAGAGGCGCAGCCAGATGAGGCTATCGGAGGCTGTCCCCCTTGAAAATAGTACGAGTAGGTAGATAGCACAATCAAATGTAGCTACAGTTAGCAGGTATTACCGGCTAATCTTGCGTGACTGCTCCTTTTACACTCGCTGCGTATTATCCGCGAACGCGCACAGCGCCATGCGCAGCGGCTTATCGATACCCGTCCGCCCGTGATAACTTTTTATCAGAATATCGACCTTTTAATTGCTACGGCTTCATTACTACGGGTGCAACAGTCGTCGAGGAGGTAACACTCCCCTTTGTCGGATTGAGTCATCGAGTAAATGCTTTTGGCGATCGAATCGACCGATCCTTTGATTAATCTCTCTGGTCTTTTATCAATCATCCTCTATATTTACTTTTTACTATTTACTTTTCTGTTGGACTCTTTTTTGCTTTTTGTTTCTTTTTGCTCTCTCTTTCATGTATAATTTAGCTCAAGCTGTGCATTTCTTTCTTTTTTTGCATTTTTGACAGGAGAATGGCGCGATTCACGTGGGAGGAAACTCGACGGCCGGCAACGAGCGATTTTACGGCTGATGCGACTATCGTGAAGCAGCTAGGTGAGTTCTTGACGAAATCTCCCGTATTGTCTTTCATGGACAACGAGTGGTGTTGTGTACGCAGTCACGAGATTACGCGTGCACCCTTGCGTGTGTCCTCGCATGTTCTAATGGGGGAGTCAGCCGGTCTTTTGCGTTGTGCATTTACTTGAATGGGTTAAAACTACGGTTATTTGCGGTGCACTTCAATCGAATTGGCTGCCGTTTGCATAATCTCCTCCTCGTTGCCCGCGTCGCATTCGTCCGCATCCGTGCGCACCTTTCTTTTGTCGAATCTCTCTTCCTCGCGCTCCAACCCCTTCGTTCGCCGCGTCTTTCTCCGCTTTCCCCGAGCAACCCCTGGAAGATCGCGCACCGCCCTCCCTTTCCCCGTTCGCGGACATTTTCCGTTCGCGAAAACGATCGCGTTTCTTTGTTCGGCAAATTTAGAACCCACGATCGCGTTTGATTTATATCCGTCGATGAGTGCGCGCGTGAGAATCGAATTTCACGACGAATCGTCCACTTCGGCCACCACGAAAACCCCGATTACAGCCACCGTGGTCAGCGCGAAGCGAACGATCGTCGACGAATCGTCTCAATTACGAGTTCTTGTCGGATTGGATTCCCGCAGATCGACTACGTTTACGCGAGCTCGTCGTCACCGGCGATGTCGACGACGACGACGACGACGACGACGACGACGACGACGTCGGTGACACACACGGGGAATACGTGCACGCTGTTAGGAGAAAACAAATGACGCATCATGATCGTCTTAAATTTTGCGCGATTTGAATAAATTCTTGCAGCCGGAGAAATTGCTGGTTTTGTTCCTGACATACCGAGATTGCAAAATTGTTTCCGCGACGTGAAATAAAAATATTTGTTTCGAGAAATTTATAGATTCTCGGTCGCGCGCGTGTGCGAATGTATTTTCCTCGGGGCAGATTTCTCGTCACGGCGCACAATCCCTCGAAGCGCCTTATTGTATACGCGAGACGTTAAATTAAAATTCAAAAGTTCAGAGAAACTTCACTCACGTTGCGCAAAATCACGTCCGTTGCACGCGCTATCCTTCTCGTGCGGAATACGTTGCGCGACAGATCGAACGAAATTCCGCGAAATTCCATGTAAAATCGGTTCGCCTCGCGTCGCGCGGGCGTGTATAACGACGCGCACAAAGCGACAATCGTTAATATCCGCCGTAATTGTCCACTGCGCGTTATTAATACAACTTAATTACCGGTAAGCAATCTGCGGCACGGATTGTATTCGTGCAGCAGTTCCAATCGTGGCTCCGGACGTAATAGTCCGGAATTCACGTGTGCGACGAGCCCGTTTTGCGATGCGAATTACATCGGTAACGCTAAGTTTGTCGCGTTACACAGGTCGACGTGAAGTTCCCGTTAAATTACTCCAACTCCCGCTTGCAATCTCGAAATATACAGATATATATTTATATATATATATATATTTATATACACACACACATATATATATATATACACACATATATAGATGCACGCATGTATGTATATATATATATGTGTGTGTGTGTGTTGTGTGTGTGTGTGTGTGTGTGTGTGTGTGTGTGTGTGTGTGTATGTATATATATGTATGTATTTATGTATACAAACATAACGTATATATGTGTGTACTCGTATGTAACATTGTACATCGCTCAAAGTGAAAATCTCCCGGCGAGCGTTCGTCGTTTTAAATGTCGCTGAATATTTATGATCCCAATCTCTTTTCAGCCTACGGTAAAACGAGGTTTACCTCCGTGATAGCGATAGGGTGCGTGGCGCCCGCGCGATGACTTTAATAACTAGTTAGCGTATTAATTACGTTACTTTGTCACCGTTAATTTACCTATTAAGCACTTATCGGCGAAGTGACGTATAATGCGGGCGGTGCGATTATTCATTATGCTAATTGCACGTAGCACCGCGGAGATAAATCTTATTCGGCTGCTACCGACAATCACCGATGCGATCGCGCCATCATGACATTTGAACATTTATGCACCCGCGAGAAGGCAATCTCATTCAGTCCGCGTCGACTGCCCCGGACGATCTTGAGGCTGCCGGTTTTACGACGGTAGTTCGAGAACGGAGGATCTCCCCTCGAGCTCTCGGGATTAAAAATAAAAATCATATTCCGCAGAGAAAAAAATTCATGAGGAGGTCTGAAAAGGATTAAAAGTTGAGTAGCGGTTAAGGGACGGCATGTAAACCCAGCATGAGTTGGGCGTTAAAACAGTAAGGGAAGAAATGCAGATTACACACAACGAGTGGGACAGAGAGGGGGGAGGGGGAGGGGGAGGGAGGGCAAGAGGGGCGGAGAAGTGAACGATAGGGGGAAGAGGGAAGGAGCGACGGTAACGTCGTTCCTGCGAGATTAAAGCTGTCTCACCTGTCGTCAGAGAGGAGTAGAGTAGCACCGACAGTAGTACGAGCTGCATTTTAGTCAGACACTTGCCGCACCTGGAGCACGATTCGCCGTGCGAAGTGGCGCTCCACTTCTTCTTCTTCGTCTGCACTCTCGAGTACTTCATCGTTCACTTGACATTTGCGCGGCGATAATCGCGAACGTTTGTACAATGACGACGACAAGGACGACAAGGAAAAAGTCACACCTCGTACTTCGCACTTCGTAGAGAATTTCCGCGTAATCGAGTGCACCGTAGAAAACCTCAACGTTCCTCGATCCTTACCAAGTGCTAGAGGGCGACGAGAGATTGAGTGAATGAGAGAGAGAGAGAGAGAGAGAGAGAGAGAGAGAGAGAGAGAGAGAGAGAGAAAGGAAGAGAGGGTGAGAGGAAAAGAGGCACTCCGAGGTGAGGTCGTCGCGTGTTTCCCAACGAGAAAATCGTCGATTCCTCGATGCGTTAAAGACAGTCGGGGGTGGCTGCGTTCGACTCGACGACGAGCGTCGATCGAACGAGCGGAATACCTCCGCGTTTGTCGATTTGTTCAGCCGCGATGTCCCTCGAACCTCGCGGCGGAATTCCTCGTTGCCGCGCGCACACTTCTTAAGAAGAAGATCCGGAATACCGATCGCGCCGGTTATCTCGAAAAAAATTCCAACGTAATCGCGTACGTTCGGATTTCACGGCGGAGGAACGCGCGGAATTTCTCCGCCGCCGCTGTCGCCGCCGTAGTCGTTCGTCGCGATATCTTTTTGCGTCGCGACGCGGACGTCTCCACTCTATTTGCCGCTCGGACGAGTTGCAAAAATACCGATCGTCGTCATATTGCGCGCGCGATATCGCGCTTGTGGATTCAATTAAAATTGAATTATCGCACTGTACTTCTTATCTAACTTTCCTACGATTTATCCGATCGTAGGCCGGAGGGGCGGGGGTGGGGTGGATTCCGCCTGGATTTCTCGATTCCACGATTGCGCCGCGTGTTTTTCTCTCTCTCTCTCTCTCTCTCTCTCTCTCTCTCGGCGGCAAGTCGGTCACAAGTAATAACCGCACGCTCAACTCTCGTGTATTCGCGCGAAAGTAGTAGTTCCGCTATTACTCCGACTTACTTCGGTCATTTCGCGGGCTTTTCCACTTCTTCTTCTTCTTCTTCTTCTTCTTCTTCTTCTTCTTCTTTCCAGTTTTAACGATCCTCCTTTTATCGTCAGTTGTTAGACAGCGAAATAGAGAGGCAGAGAGCGAACGAGAAGGAAGAAGAGTGCGGTGGCTTCCGCCGTAAACGTCCTCCGCAAATGTTTTTCGTCTACCACAACTTCCGGCTTTCCCTCGGGCGCGCTCGCGGAACTTTCCACGCCAAGGGGACCCCCGGTGCCTCCTCCTCTGTCTTCCCACTTTTTTTCCTCCGCGCGCGCGACGTTGCCCAGGTGTGCACCGCTGTGTGCGCACGTATATAATAACCTCTTCCCCCTCGGAACAGATCACCACCCCTTCACGACACTCGCAGCTCTTCGCGTCGCGAACGCGTCTCTCTCGCGCGCGGTACGCACATTAACGCCGCTCCGCCGTCTCCCCCGATCTTCGCTCGTCGAGCCGCTAATTAGTGCGGAATAATTACTCGCCGCGACGTCCCGAACGTCGATGCGTCTCGGAAAGGAGCGCTTCGCATCGAGTTCTTTCGCTCGCGGACTCGCGGACGAGTGTTCCGTGCGCGGCTCGAGATGTTTCCTCTTCACCATGGACCACGATGACTCTTCATCGTTGATTAATCTGCTCCGCTGTTCTCGGCCGCTCGTTAGTCATCGAGTTACATCAATGCGAAAGTCGTTGCGCGGACGAGTGTCGTAAGACATCGCAACGACCGCTCCCCACCATGGGTTTCATCTGGTTCCTGCGGTTGCCCAATGTCTACACGCGTACCCTCTTTCCTCTCGCGCTGCTTTCTCTTTTTTTTTTATTACACACACGGTGAGAGGGAAAAGAGAACTCGCAGCTGTTCCGTTTTCGTGCTTATTTTGCAAACCACTTTCGTGCGGTTTCTCTTTTTCTCCCCAGCTTCTTCTTCTTCTTCTTCTTCTTCTTCTTCTTCTTCTTCCCAGCAGATTCGCACGATTCTCGTCGCACAACCTTTGCGAGTGGGACCCCGGACGGAAGCCCGCGAGAGCGCCACAAGGCACCGACGTGATTCGGACGACGGACGCGATGCACTAACACCACCCACGTGACACTTTCGCCCGTGGCCACGTGCCGCGCGATTCCGCTTGTCCACCCCTACCTTCTTCTGCCTCACGCAAACGCGGCCTCCACGTCGCGCTTGACTATCCCCCCCGGACGAAGGCACACTTTCTCGAGTTCCCCGCGATCGACCGGCACACTGTATCCTCTCGCCGCGCCCGATGATATCCTTACGAGCGTATCCTCACTGTCACTCTCGAGCACGCGAACACGCAGCGTGAGTGAGCGATTTTATCGAACGATCTTTCGCCCCGATGCCGACACCTATTCGCTACGGTGCCGCGATCTCTCCCGATCATCGAGCCCGTTTTTATCCAAGAGACGTGACTTCTTCTCTTCCTCCTCTTCTTGACGAATCCGCCGGAATCGCTTCGGTCCCTACAAACATGCGCGAGGTACCGCCGCGCGAGTGCACGCGTCCGTCGTGGTGCTTTACAACAGGTACCCGGGAACCTTTTGCACCGGCAGTTCGTAGTTGACAGAAACCCTTGGCGGGAGCTGTACGACGAATAAGGTGCCACTCCCACCCGCGCATGCTCCACCACCACTCTCCGAATCGCGCGATCCCTCTTTTCCCCGCCGGCGCCCCTCCTGCTTATTTTCTCCTTTCCCCTCGTCGTGGCCGTCGGCCCCCTCCTTTCTTCTCTCTCGCGAGTGCGATTCCCCTATTTACTCCGTTTTCAAAGGGTTTTCTCCCCCCCCTCCCATCCCCTCCTCCCCCTCCTCCTCCCTGTCTCCTCTTTCGTCGGTTCGTTCGTTCTCTTTCTACCACTCTGTCTCTTTCCTCTTGGCCGAAATGTTCTCTCGCGCGTTTTCTCCAGCCACCGGCGCGTTTCTTCCTCTCTTTCTTCGTCCTCTTCTCTCGCGCGATCCCACCACACCGTGTAACCGCACGTGGTGTCCCCACGTCGGAGTGGGGCAATCCATAAACCAATTAATTCGGGTAATAAACTCGGCCGGAGGCTGTCCGTCGCCCGCCCGCCCGCCCGCCCGCCCGCCCGTCCGTCCGTTCGTTGGACCTACAAATATGCCTTGCCTTCCCTCATCCGGAGGACAAACCTCCGGGTCCTTTTGGCGACTCTCTTCAGCCTGACGTGCCTTTGTTCGGCGTGGCGCACGACCAGAATCGTCACGTCGAAAGCTATCTCCCTATCTAGCTCGTTAGACAGGATTAACCCTTTGGCCACATATGACGTGTCAAAGGGATGTGGTCTGTCCGGAATTGGGTAATGGATTTAAGAGATTACGCGTGTTTTTCTCCCTTTTCGTCCCTCTCTTATCTCACGTGCGCTCGCTGCTCCGCGTTGTCTCGGATGTAGCGGATTTTATAATGGTCTTTAAACGGAAAATCATATTCACCAAGTGGATTCTCATCTAGGGGCCTGTCCCAAGAGAGCCATATCCACATTCCGCCGTTACTCGCGACTATCTCGCGATTGGCGAAAAAGAGTGTCGTATATAACGTTAGTATCTCGGCGCAAATAATGTGAAATTAATGAATAAGCAACGCAACGGTGCTTTGCAGCGTGTTTTAATAGTCGGGTGACACGCGGCATCAGGAGCAATAATATATTGGGTTGGCAGCTAAGTGATTGCGGATTTTAAATAAGAATGAAAATTCAAAATTTTAAATTTGCTTTTTTAAATTTCTTTCAATGCGTGTATGCGATACATTGAGCTTCTCTGCAATATCACGTGTTGTGCTATGACGATCTGAATCGATAACGGCCTTGATACGGATCTCATCGACTTCAACTGGACGGCCAGATCGTTGAGCATTTTTCAATGCTCAATCAAAAAATCACCAGAACGAAATCTGGCAAACCAATTTTGACACTGCCTTTCTTTCAAGGCTTCATTCCCATATACGGCACATAACTTCTTGTGTGCTTGCGATGCGTTCTTACCTTTTCGGAAATAATACAATAAAATATGTCTGAAGTGCACGTCTTGCTCCTCCATTTTTAAATTGGGATAAAAACAAAACTAAAGAACTAATCGATATAATTTTTGTACTAAATGAAAGGTAGAAGTCCAAACAATAAGAGAAAAATATAGGTTAGGTACTTTGAACACGTTAACGAAACAAAAGAAAGTGTAAAATCCATCTGTCGACAAAATCCGCAATCACTTAGTTGCCAACCCAATACCACGTCCAAAAAATGGATCGGGAGACGCCGTGCCCGTAATTCCCGAATATTCCGCGAATCGATCGAATCGTTTGTGGCACGCCGCGTGTTAGTTCGCACTTGTGATCATCATCATCATCGACCTGCGATGCTGTTTTTTGTCGCAGAACTGTCGGAGATTACTGCAAGAAAGAATTTACGAACCGCGTGACGCACGAGACAACGCTCGGGGTATCTTAAACGACGGGATTTCGTTGTTAGGCGCGCATGTAGAGATAATGCGTCGAAACGAGAACGAAATCAAACGTCAATCCGTTTATCGCGATTAATCCAGGAAAAAGATTAAACACCAGGGAAATGAATGGACGACATGGAATTGGAGATATCGCGCATTCTGATGACCGTCCACGATCCGTTTTAATTTGTTAAATGTGCTCATATTGCGCGCCGTCGTCCGTCCCCTTGTCCCCCTCGCCCCCTCGTCACGTCCGCATTAGCGCGGCGTGTCTAGACGCCGCTTGCATAAGTTTCGTGACGGCGTCCCTTATTCCCTAGGCCCAACGAGGGATTATTAAAGAAAGAGGCGCTCCTACTGGGGCTGCGTAATAAATCAATTAGTTTAAATAAGGCGAGGCCCTCGGCCGCGCTCGCGCTCGCGCTCGCCGGCGCACCGCGAGGGGAACGCACGATGTCGCGTTCGTTCTGTGAAACAGCGCGCTCCGCTCTCGCGGAGCCATTATTATGGCTCACACGGTGGACGAGCCGTCGATTGCGCCGATAAATTAATTGCGCGCGATCGATTAATTAAAATGCCGGCACACCGACAACGTGATCCCAATGCCGAAGGGCGACGGAAATATTATTCCGACGTGCCGGTGTACTCGCGGTTAAACAGCGAAAACCTTGAAGTTGCCGCAGCCGTCGGCGTCGCTAAACTACCCTGCCCCCGTCCGACCTCCCCGCCCTTCTGGTCACCCTCCCGCGACCGGTTAACCATCCGTAACGAGTTCACGCGTTCGTGCTCACGTTATTTTAGCGTTAAACGCTGCGGTCGACTCGACGCCAATCACAACTGCGAGCTCGTGCGGCCGGCGCGGCGTGTTGCACTCCCGGAGCCGTCGCGATTTGTTGCCGGATCGATCGGCGCCGGTTCGATTTATTCTCGCTCGTATCAAGTCGAAAAGCCGGATCCCCCTTTCTCTCTCTCTCTCTCTCTCTCTCTCTCTCCCTCTCTCTCTCTCTCTCTCTCTTCTCTGTGTCTCTCTCTCTCTCTTTCTCCCTCGCTAGCCCTCTTGATCTCTTTCTCCCTCGTTCCTCTCTTGCGCGTGCGTCCGCGAAATAGAAGTACGCTCGCCTGCGTTATACACATTTGACAGCTGAGAATTATCCGCTGCATAATACACGCGCTGCATCCGAGTGCGGGATGCCCGGGATCTCGGCTACGAGAATTGTTAGTGAATGAATTAACATACTAATTACATGCGCCGTCAAGCACGCGCTGCGCGATTTCGTGGCTTTGATATAACTTGGCAAGCAATGCGCGAATCTTTCGCGAACGCACGCGAAATAGATCGTGACGCTTTTGTCTTCCTCTTTCGCGCGTGTCCGTGTTTCCGCTTTTAATCTCGCTTCGAGATAAACGCGCCTGCGAGCGTTCGGCCGAGCGATATTGTTAGGCAAAGCTCGATTTCTCCTGTGAAATAAAATTAATCCCACTCTTTGTACTTCGTTTCCGCGGCCTCTCTCTCTCTCTCTCTCTCTCTCTTTCTCTTTCTCTCTTTCTCTCTCTCTCTCTCTCTCTCTCTCTCCCTCCCTCTTTCCTTTTTCTTTTTCCCTCTAGGTATCAACATGGTTAACACACGTTTCATGTGTACGCCCGAATCTCTTTCCTTCTCTATCTCTTTGCCGAGATTAAGAAGGAAAATGCAGAAATTACTGGTCTGTTAGTCTTTCTGAACGACCGTGTACACGGCTGAACAGATCCAATTAGCCACGATGAATAATCCGATGAGGGCGCGGGAATAGCGCCGGCGCGCCGAAACGAGCGCAAACGCGCCCCGGGTGTCTACCTTGCCTCGTTCGAAAATTTTTAACCCCGACCCTCTCGGCGCGCCGCTCCTCGCCTGTATCTTCCATTGACAAATTGGATGCGCGAATCGCGCGCGGCCGATGGCGAATTAACGCGATCCACGCGGATCGCCGGACGCGCGCTATCGATTTCGCACAGGCGGGTCCGATCGTTCGGAGAAAAAAACCAGAGGGGAGAGAGAGAGAGAGAGAGAGAGAGAGAGAGAGAGAGAGAGAGGGAGAGAGAGAGACACGCCGCTCGATTATTTCAGCAACGGCGGCTGTGTATTTACGGATCGTCACACGCGCTCGCGGAAATCGCAATCGCGTTGTCCGTGCTGTTGTCCGTCGTATTATCAGCCACGCGTTAAATTAATCAATCTTTCGCGCAACGCGCGGAATTTTCAATTACGGCCAGTTGATATTTTACTTTCGCATAGCCGTTGTCTCGGCCCATCACACAGCCGGGACGTGTGCGTGAGACGTACTTCTAATTGAATCCGCGCCGGTCGGCACGCACGAATCGGAAGCGCGCCGTTAGGCGCGCAATCGGCGCGGATTTATGAGCCCCGTCTCTCTAATGACAACGCGACGGAATCCGTCACGCGGACGTCCGCTCGGATTTGTCCGGGGAGCCGGCTTAACCCCCGGCCGCGTTATCGCTCGCAGCCGGCATTCTTCTTCTTCCTGGCTGAACGAACGGACGGTTAGTGATGGTGGGTAGTGGTGGTGGTGGTGATGGTGGTGGTGGTGGTAGTAGTAGTGGCGGCGGTGGTGATGGTAGTGATGGTGGTGGTGATGGTGGTGGCGGTGGTGCGACACATCCTCGGTGGTTTCAGAGAACCATTTTTCGGAACGACACTGTCCGATCGTTATCGCGCCCTGCCGGTTACGGTACGTGCAGGGGAGACGTGCGAGGAGGCGGATGGAAAGAGGAAGTGTCACGATGTCGAGCCGGTCTTAAGATCCTGAGCGAGCTCATTCGTCTCCGAGACTCATCTCCGACCTCACGCTCGCGAAAGCTCGTTTATACGGCATCCCAACCCCCTGCCGCGCCGGTGGTTGCTCCTGTGTTGGCAGGCGCCTTGAAATTCGCGCCCGTCGCCGGGGTCTCTGCCCCCGAGCCCGATTCGCTCCCGTCTGTTCCACGGAAGCGGTATTGTAGCGATGGCCATCGAACCCCAGTGAAGGTATATGAGAATTAACGGAGGAGGAGAGAGAGAGAGAAACGGGGAGTTTCTTCCCCTCCTCTAATCCCTCATTTCCCACCTTGTTTCAGTAGAATTTTGAAACCCGAATGTAATATAATTCTTGCTCTCGT